CAAACTAATGAAGTCGATTCTCAGTACATTGTGTTTTGTGTTTACATCAGCTGTCAAGCTAATATCCGCTCGAACCAACTGGCTCAACTTGGTGAGATTTGTGATGCGGTCCATTTGCCTTACGTGGTGCTGGGGGATTTCAATGTCACTCTCCATGCCCACGAAAAGGATGGCGGTAACCCGTGGAATGCTTCCCAATCCGTTGCATTACGGAATTTTGTTCATAACCTTGGCCTCCATGATCCCGGGCACCAAGATGATCTTTTTACCTGGACAAACAAACGAATGGGGCCTGCCTGTATTCGGGAACGGCTGGACAGAGCTTTGTGTCCCTCGGAGTGGATAGAACGATTTCCGGATACCCTTATTAAACATTTTACGGATCAGGGATCGGACCACCGTGCCTTGCTGCTGGCAGATAAACCCTACATCAGGAATAGTCGGCCCCTGTTCAGATTTGATGCGCGTTGGGCTGATAATCCAAAGGTAAAAGCAATGGTGACGTATGTCTGGAGTGAAAATGTCCACGGTACCCCTATGTACCAGTTATGGGAACGGTTGAAGAAGCTTAGACATCTCCTATATGATTGGAGTAGGGCGGGTACGACGAACTCCCTGCGGAATATTTGCACCCTTCAAGCGAAAATTGAGCGGATAAAAGCTATATGCCGGATTAATTGGGATGAAATTGGAACCCTTTAGATGGAACTGAGCAGGCAGTGGGAGGCGGAGGAACTGTATTGGCAATAGAAGTCCAGGGTTCGATGGCTGAAAAGAGGTGATAAGAATTCCTCTTATTTTCATACAGTCACGCGCACTCGTCAAAAAAGAACTTTGTGCACGGACTCAGGACGGAAACAGGTGAGTGGGTCACGGAGGAAGCGGGTAAAGCTGACATTGCAGGCACTTTTTACCAGCAGTTGTTCACCTCTGAGAATCAGGTTCCAAACATGGCCTCTCGGGTGGAAACACTCCCAATTCCCAAAGCGGTGACGCCAGAGATGAATGCTAGCCTAACAGCTTCTATTTCTCCGGAGGAGGTTCGCCGCACGGTTTTTGCTATGGGGTCCAAACAGGCACCTGGGTCTGATGGGTTTACTGGCAAGTTCTTTAAAGCTTTCTGGAGCATTGTCGGTGATTCGGTGATTGATGCGGTTATTTCCTTCTTCGCAACTAGCAAGATGCTCCGTAGCTTTAACCACACGTGGTTGACATTGATTCTTAAAGTGGAGAATGTGGAAACAATGAAACAATTGCGGCCCATTAGCCTTTGTCAGTTTGTTTACAAAATTATCTCAAAGATCATGGCTGCTAGGTTAGCTGTCATTTTACAGGTCATTATCTCGGATGGTCAAAATGCTTTTATTCGTGAGAGGCAAATTGTGGAGAATATCCTCCTGGGGCATGAATTGATGCACTACTTGAAAATCAAAAACCGTGGGAAGAAAGGGTTTATGGCTCTGAAGGTTGACATGGAAAAGGCCTATGACAGAGTCGAATGGCCGTTTCTCCTGGAGGTTTTGGATAAAATGGGGTTTAATTCTACCTGGCAAGGATGGATCCAGGAGTGCCTGCGATCAGCCTCTTTTTCAGTGCTCATGAATGGTACCCCAGCAGGGTTCTTTGCCCCTTCCCGGGGACAGAGGCAGGGTGACCCGCTCTCCCCGCTGCTGTTTTTCATTTGCACAGAGGGGTTTGCAGCACTCCTTCGTAAAGCAATTTCGGAAAAAAGGTTAGAAGGGGTGAAAGTCGCTCCTCGCGCTCCTCGAATCTCGCATCTGTTCTTTGCTGATGACTCCTACTTGTTCCTGCGAGGATCTCTCCAAGAATGTGAAAACCTGATTGAGGTCTTGAACGAGTATGAGGAGTTAAGTGGCCAAAAAGTGAATCTGGCTAAGTCAGCGGTTTGCTTTAGCAAGAATATTGCGGTGCCAGATCAGGAGTTCTTGGCCCAGGTGTTAGGAGTAGGGGCGGTGGGGGTGCATGATAAGTATTTAGGGTTGCCAACGTTAATTGCTCGATCCAAGATGGCAACGTTTCGGTACCTGGAGGACAAGTTTTTGGAGAGGTTGCAGGGGTGGAAGCAATGCACGCTTTCCTGGGCGGCTAAGGAGACATTGATCAAGGCATTTGCAATGGCTTTGTCGTTACATGTGTTGTCCTGTTTTAAGCTCCCTCTGGGCCTTTGAGATTTGCACGCTTTCTGGATAAACATGTGGCACGTTTTTGGTGGGGGATGAATGAGGGGCAGCCTAAGATCCATTGGATGTCTTGGAGGAACCTCTGTCGAAGTAAGCATGAGGGTGGAATGGGGTTTTGCCGGTTTGAGCAGTTCAATCAGGCTCTCCTTGCAAAAATTGGGTGGCGTATTCTGATGGACCCTCAATCCCTCTTGGCGAAGGTTTATAAAGGTAAATATTTTCCGTAGGGAACTTTCCTTGAGGCCAATGCTCGTTCGCGGCTCTCGTGGGGTTGGACGAGTATCCTCCATGGGCGTGAGCTCTTGGTAGCTGGCTTGCGATGGCAAATAGGGAATGGCCAGACTGCTCCTCTCCTAAATTCCAGCTGGATACCTGGGTTGCATCCTGAAGGTCCTGTTTTTAACCCTCGGGTGTTGCCGGTTGATCGGGAGCCTCGGGTTTCTGAGGTCATGTGCCAGGGGGAAAGGGGTGGTGTGTGGATAGCTTAAGTCAATGGTTTGATCCGGCTACTTGTAAGGCTATTCGTGCTATCCCTCTCCCGGTCCAGGGTGTGGAGGATAAACTGGTTTGGCATGCCACGTCGGATGGGATTTTCACTGTTAAGTCTGCCTATCATCTTGCGGTCACTCTTGATAAACGCTCGGGACGGTGGAGGGATATGGTTAGCTGGATGGATAAGAGTAGTTGGATCCGTTTGTGGGATGCGAATATTCCGCCAAAGCTTAAGAATTTTGCTTGGCAGATTTTTAATCGCATTCTTCCGACTATGGAGGCCCTTGTTGAGAAGAAGGTGTCGGTTCTGCCACGTTGCCCAGTTTGATGGAATGAGCTAGAGTCCTTGGAGCATATGTTCCTTTATTGCCCAGTCGCTCGAGCTATGTGGGATTATTCTGGGTTGGAATTTATGGGTGAGGGACTTCCGCGGCAGACTTTTCCTCTCTTCCTCAAGCGGTTATTGGCCCTTGTCCATCAACCTTCTTTATTCACGGCTGTGATGGCGGTCCTTTGGAGGATTTGGAAATCCCGGAATTGGGTGGTGTTTGAGGGGAAGCAGTTTGCCTTCTTGGCCTTGGTGCGTCAGTTTCAGCAACAAGTGGATGAATGGGTGCGGTTGCCGGGGGGACCCTTCCCCTGGCTTGGCTATGGGTGGCTTGCAAAGCCATCCGGCTCCGCAGGTGGATTCTGGTCTTATTTGTCGGTGGGATGGGGCGACGAAATCAGGCTCCCACTCTGCGGGGGGCATGGTGCTCAGTTCAGAGGGTGGGGTTCTGAGGGCTACAGGGGTTCAGTTCCCAGTTATTGATGATCCGGTGATTGCTGAAGTCCTGGCGCTTCGGGAGGATGTGAAGTGGTGTTTAGCTCAATGGTTTAGTATGGTTCGCTTTGAGGGGGATGCTAAGGTAATTATCGATAAAATTCGGCGGAGGGAGGTAGATGATAGTAGGATGGGGGCTGTTCTTAGCGAGGTAGTGCAAATATTTGCCCTTCATCCTGGTTTGAGTATTCGATTTGTAGGTCGGCGTAGTAATAGGGTAGCCCATTTGGTGGCTAGAAAGGCCCTTTCAATGTACCCGGCTGCTTGTCGTGCTGTTGATTTTCAGGCCTGGCTGAGTTCCAGGATGTAACTATCTTATTCTTTTGATCAATATATATCTTTTGTTAAAAAAAAAAACCGAAAGTCACCCTTCTCTCCATCTGCCCTTTGCAATCAATGGAAAACGTCACTCCCTAGTAGTCTTTTTGTTTCTTTGATGTTTGTTAGTTTGTGGATGGTGATGATCTTGTGGTTCTTGTGATTGATGTCTAATTAGTTGATACTTGGTAATTGAGAGTAAATTTTAAATTATTTTTAAATTGATGTGTTAGAATCTCGATTTGAATTATGAATTACGATGAATGATGTATATTGATTGTATTTCTTATAATTATTATTTTATGTTAATAATGCATAACTATAGTTTAAATTGTTTCAAACTATTTTGTATGAATTATATTTTATATTAAAATGAACTAAAATAAATTAAAAATAACGAAAGAAAAATGCAGTGCACAGACACCCGAGACAATTGACGTCAAACTATTAAGTTGTAGAAACATAAACAATGCTGATTTTGTGTCGGTGATGGTGAAATACATATTATACTAGAAGCTAGCACTCCATGAAATTGAAACTACACTAACTTCTTTTTTTTTTTTTTGGAAAAACTACACCAACTTAAAAACAAACTGCCTCACATCTAGATTTAGGTTCAGTGGATTTGTATTTCAACACGTCATATTTATTAGAGAAGCTTGTAAAAGAAAAAAAACACTAAAATGTGTGGTTTTGAAAATTCATTGTTTGAAAACTATAAAAGAATGCATGAATTACAGTTTAAAAATGAACTATGGATATTAAAAACTCACAGAAAAAAAAATTCATTGTAAATCATTTTCTATATATTAGGGGTATTTCGAATACATTCATTGTATACATACAATGTTTAGAATTGGAGGTTTGAAATGCAACGAGGCCATATTATCATTATTTTATATTTTGATGATGTTTTTTGACCGTATACATTTTGATGCAAATGGGCGTCAGATCGAAACGAGAGGCGGAAAACAGGAAATGGACACACTAGACGAGACGATGGCCAGATCTGGTCCACTTAACAGAAGCGTCAGAGAGGTTTGATGTGATATGAGCACCTGATAAACTGAGATCTAATTCCCTCTCCTCTCCCCTCCTCTCCTCTCCACTGCAAAATTTTGTTTTCTTTCCTCCATACCGACTCTCTCAGAGAGAATTAACTCATCATGGGCTGCTCTTTCTCCGGCCTGAATGCCCTTTACGACGCCGTGAACGGCGGTGGAGATGTCTGGATCAACGAGAACCGTTACAGAATCCTTAGACAGCTCGGAGAAGGTGGCTTCGCCTTTGTTTTCTTGGTCAAAGAGGTGCCCTCCGACAATTCCTCCGTCCCCGGTACTGGTCTCGCCGCCAAAGTCAGGGACAAATCCCATCTTTCCGGTGAATTTCCTTTCCTGTTTCCCGCTTCTGATTTCGTTCGGGTCGTGTTTCTGATCTGGGTGGGGTTAATGTTTGAATCTCGTCGTTGAAATTCTAATGTGTTATGTGATCCGCTGCGGACGGATTACATTTGTCGGTTGATGTACAACCATCAGTCAGTGCAGGTTGTTAGCTACGCTAGTTGATTGGTATTTTGATTATGCCGGTGGTGTTTCCAGGGTTTTGGTCTATGCCAAGCTGAGCTTTCGGATCTGGAAGTTCAATGAAAAGATTTAAATGCTCTTAGTAGCTGTTACTATTTTCTGCGATTCGTATGAATATATTCTTTAAGAGGGCCGTTTGAAGTTTGGGGTAAAATGCCAACTTTCTGCGGATCGCAATCTGGGGGCAGGAATTTAAATCAAGGGTAGTGTTTGGCATGTCACGCTAATACGTCTGGATGACCTTGTAGTCTGTAGATGGATGTGATTTGCAGTGAGCACTGGTTTTCAGGACTTGAATAAGAATGTTAATCTGAATGCAGAAGATGGAACTTATGCAATGAAGAAGGTTCTTATCCAGAACAATGAGCAGTTGGAATTGGTGCGGGAAGAGATTCGTGTTTCATCACTGTTTAGCCACCCAAATCTTCTTCCTCTTCTTGATCATGCTATCATTGCTGTTAAGGTAATTGACGCAATCCTCTGTGTGTTTGTCTGTTAATGATCTGTTCTGTACTTTTTTCAGTGTAGAAAATATGCTTGGCAAAACAGCAAGTCATCCTGATTTAGCAATCTAGTCTCAGACAAAGTCTCTGCAGTTCTTTGGCATTTTCTTTTGTTTGTTTTCTATCTTTTATTTATTTATTTAAGGGTAATATAGGTTCAGTTTTATAATAATTAGGTACTACTTAAGAGATTCGAACGATTACCACTAGACCAATCCCTTGTTCATTGTTTGTTTTCTATTGTTATTGTGCTGGAAATGTTCCCCAGATTGCAGATGATTCCTTGTGCCATGCAATCTCCAGTATACCATCCTCCTTCCTTTAGATATTTAAAAGGGAGAGAAATCAAATCTGAATGATGAGTTCTAATCGGTATTAAATCTGAAGTATGTTAAGCATGTACAAACTACACAACTGAGCCTCCCGTGTAAAGTCAAAGATGAAGTAAAACATTTAACCTTGTGAATGATTGATTGAATCCCCGAGAGAGAGAGTCTATAGGTAATGGAGGAACTATAAGCTGATGAAATCTTGACATTCTTTTCCCTATTATCTTGCTATTTTGAACTTGTATTCACTATTATTAACTCAAAGCACAAGCCTCTCGCTCTGATTGATCTTCATCCGTTATGTTCCTTTCCTTGTGTTTCGTGTTGGAAGTTTGCTTTGGTTATTGATTAATGTTTATCCTAGAGAAAATCTACTGTTCCAAATGGGCGATACTCCATGCGTAGTATGGTTGGAAGCCACTTTGGATGCAAGGTAAAAATGGGTTCTAAATGAAGAGGGAAGCTAGCAGTGCTTGGTTATGTGAATTTGACATCAGTTGGCACATTGCTTTCTGCTATGGATGCATTGGAGCCTTCAAACAGATGCATGATTCTCAATAGGTTGCCACATACCAGCTTTAGAGTTAATTACTGGTGTCTTATTTGCAACTGGACATTTCGTCCATTTTACTTTTTCTTAATTTTCCTCGAATATCATGCAAATAAATTTACCCTTCAACGTTTACTTAGACTACACAAGAAGCATCCTGGAACCACGAAGCATATTTACTGTTTCCAGTGCACTTGGATGGAACATTACTGGACAATTCAAAAGCAATGATGGCGAAGAAAGAGTTCTTTTCAACCTCAGATGCTCTTCAGATATTTCGGCAGGTGAGTGACGACTTTGCTCCTTTTTGCTGTGTTTTTTACTTGAAAGCGTATCTACGTTCTCCATCCAGGTTTAATGGCTCCATATATGCTGTAAAATCTATATCATGCATGACCAAATTTCACACAAGTTTGTGAAGCTCCATACAATGTTTGGTCAGAGCTGTTTTTAATTATTACTCGATTTTGACCATAATTTAGCTAGTCCAGGCTCAGTGATGAAAGCCACTTGTCTAACTTTGTTTCCTCTTTTTGCTTCTTGCTTCACCATTTCCTTATAAGTTTTCGTATTGTTGCCTCTGCCTTCTTTGGCAGATACTAGCTAGTGAGATTTTAACTATATTATTCACTGAGAAAAAAAGGTGCCACCATAGCTTTGTGCAGGATTGAAGCACATGCACAGTCTTGAGCCTCCATATGCACACAATGATGTGAAACCCGGCAATATCCTTATAACACATAAGAAAGGGCAGTCACCCCTTGCCATATTGATGGATTTTGGCAGCGCTCGACCTGCAAGAAAGCAAATTCGTTCCCGAACAGAGGCACTACAACTACAGGTACTTAGTCATGTGGAGCTCTTGACAATCTTCTGCTTACCATCTCTTTATCTGTTCATTATTTTCAGTTTTAGGTAGAAATATTGTTAGAAGTTCTACATTCTAAATCTGCATGTACAAATATCTGCATCTTAGTGTATCTGTTGCGGAGCGGAGTGCTATTTTTAGACATAGAAAGATCTTACTCATCTATGCGTGTTGCTATTAGGAATGGGCAGCAGAGCATTGTACAGCACCTTTCAGAGCTCCTGAGTTATGGGATTGCCCAAGTCACTCAGATATTGATGAGAGGACGGATGTTTGGTCTCTGGGATGCACACTTTATGCAATCATGTGAGAACACCGTCTTACTAATGTATCATGAAAATTCCCAGAAACGTCAGCTAGCTTGTGCTTATGATAGATGTAGTTGCCGTAATATGTTAAAAACTGAAGTTCAGATGTCATTGATGTCTCCAACCTTGCAGCAGTTATCTGCGTTCATTATTTTGACCACCTCAATATATTGCTGATCCATAAATACAGGTACGGCGTATCTCCATTTGAGTATGCTCTTGGAGAGTCTGGAGGGAGCCTACAACTGGCAGTACTAAATGCACAGGTAAAGTGGCCAGCTGGACCTAAGCCTCCATATCCAGAAGCTCTGCACCAGTTTGTGATGTGGATGCTTCAGCCACAAGCAGCAGTTCGCCCACGCATCGATGACATCATCATCCACGTCGACAAGTTGATTGCTAAGTTTTCCTGCTAGAGATTACAGATGACTAAAACAATGATTGCAGTGGATTGCTGTACCTATTGTACTCGGCAATCGGGAAGGAGGTAACAACACAAACGGGGAAACAAACAAATGGAAGCCGTGCCGTTTAAACGAGTAGTAACCATTTTATTAGACTTGCAGCTTTTGGAAGTTTTGGAAATAGGCTTTGTTATAAACATTCAAGTCATAGCACCCATAAAAGAAGATAAAGAAGTTGGTTATCTAATTCCTTGTGTAATTTTTTTCTTAATAAGAGTTTCTTCCGTATTTTTTTCTTAATAAGAGTTTCTTCTGTAATCTATTCAACGCAACACTTGCAGTTCCTTTTCCATGGTGCAATAATTACTATAGAGGGATGCACTCCCATCCCCCGTCAAAACTTTAGGATACATGTCGAATATGCACTTGTGTAAAATTTACAAACAGGGATCATTCTACGCAAATGGATATGTCATTGAACGGTAGAATATATAGAACACAAACATGAGACGTCTAAATGCTATAGCTACATTTCCCTTTCCCCTATTACTCTATCAAAAAAAAAAATCAACTATTTTTATTTTAGGCATCACCTTAGCATTCACAAAAAAGTATGGTGCTCCTCTGATCTATCCACATTATGAGAGTAATGCTGTCAGTCAACATGGTCGTCTTCACCTTCAGAATCTGCATGTCCAAAAACTTGATAAATTTCGCCCCAAACTTGCTTACAATTATTATTATTACATCTTTGAAAACGCAAGAAACTCATCACATATTAATGGCAATCAATGAAATTGTATTCCTACTATATCGCCGTGCGGTTGTTGTTCTGATTAGCTAGTTAAGTTATACCTGATCGAATATCGTCGCCAAGCTTGCCTCTGGCCTTGATTTGATCGATCACCATAACGATCATCAGCTTCCACCAGTATATGTTGACAATGAGCAAGCAGATCAGAAGAGTATTGAACATATAGTAATATACAGGCCCTTCCACAGCATGCTTCTCCATGTCCAGACTGGCTACGACTTCAGAGCTGCCAATCACACGGGAATGATCACATTTGAAGAAAGCTGGAAAACCCTAGGTGAAAATGGAGTTAGGATGGCTTTCACTCTCAGACCGCATCTCACCTTGTACTTCTCAGTATCCAGAGTGGGAAGCAGATAATTCGGAGCATGGTCCAAACCACGACGAATGAAGCAAAGAAAATGCTGGAAAGCGATTCAAATCCACTGTATCTTGACATTTTTGCAGCTTCCAGGAACATATCAGTGGCATCATGTATTGCAAGCACAACTGCACCAACACGAGCAAACCTACAAGAGAAAGCAGGCTGATGAAATGAGTAAAGAAATTGCAGTCCTGAAGCAAACTAACCCTACCTAGCCATGTACGACAGCACAAGGAGAGCAAGTGTTGCCAGATGATGACCCATGGAAACCGAAAAGTCCGATCTTCTTGTTTCCCAGAACAACAATGCAAATGTGGAGTAGACGTAGAATCCACCACCGTACATGTACAAAGCCTTAAGTTTCAATCTGACCACCCAGGCACATAACATCCATAATAAGCAACCATTCGATTCAACGCATAGAAACAAACAAACATTAGCAAGTTTTTCTCACTCGACTTTGAGGTCGGGCCAAACTTGATCTCCAGGTCCTTTCCAGAAGTAGTTGGTATTAGTGAACCAAGGCTCATTATGAGAAACGTAGAGAGCCAATAGCTCCGATGAAAGGAAATAAACAAGCTTCCAGGCTGATTCTTTGAACTTTGTTATGGTCTTCCTTTCCTCACGTGTCACAAGATGAATACTAGGATACCCTTTGCCCAAAATCAACCGTCCAGCCAATTTCTGCAGCCACCGGAAACTGAATTAAACCCCGAAAGACCCATCTAGCAGCCTACAAGGTTAATTGTAAGCAACTGAGAAAAAAAGGGACAAGAGACCTGGAAAACATATCTGTCGAGGAAAAGCCTGATCAAGGGAAAGAAGACGGCGAAAAGGGGGATGGCGAGGAAGTCGGTGGGCAACGGGTCGGACTCGGACTCCCAATCAAGCCAACAGCTTTGGGTTCCCAGAAGAAAACTCATTGAAAAGGTAATGGTTACACTTACAGAGTGGGCTTAGCAGCCAGATAAACAACAAGGGGGCTGCGAGCGATGAATTCCCAAAGTGAGGAAAACGGAGCTCTACTATCTAAAACAGTGGAAGTCGGAGGGAGCTGCTCGTTGGAGTCGAAGAAGAAAAGTCCAGTGGGGGACCCAATTGACTGAGTGTGGAAGAAGACAAGTCTAAATTATGGCGCCCTTTGTGATTGTGGAAATGGATTCTCTGTCTTGCCGGGAAATTTACAAGGCTAAGAGAGGCTCCAAATCTCGTATTGTCGTAGTAATCGTCTAAATGATTCCCCGGAAATCAGAGTCCACGGCCCGGCGCCTGCATTCATTTATTCTATTATTTTTTTTCTTCTTTTTTACAGTTTACATGTGGAAAATTGGGATTCAATTAGTAAATACTCTTGATGACTCCCGTATTAAACACGTATAAAACTCGTATAACCCGTTTAATATTTGTATTTAATGAATTAAATTATGTGTAATTATGCCTGAATCAACAAATTAACTACATTATATTAGAATGTCATCAACCTTCATTGACATCATACATGAGAAACAAACAACAAATTACTTTTAAGGAATGCAATACACATAAATAATTTATGAAACTCTGTTAGAACAATAGTAAAAAATCTTAAAAATTGAAATAATTTACTTACAAAAATTATATTGATTAATACAAATAAAATAAGAAAAATTAAACCCAACACTTTTTTTTAACAAAAGATAATCATATTGATTGATAGACAAGATCAAAGATTACACACTGGAACCAACCCAGGAAAGAAAATCAAACAATCGACCAGAAACCAGAGGCAAAGAAAGGGCCTTTCTAGCTTTAAACCCAACACATAGTAAGGGAAAACTAGCTTTATACGTGCTGAATTTTTCCCCCTTTCTTTCAAAAGATCATTTTTATTACCCAATAAACAACAAGATATAAAAGAGTCGGGAGGCTTTAAACAACCGAAAAACAAAATCAACCCAACTAAAAAAGGCAACATTGAAAAGGCCTTTTGCAACTCTAAATGGGCAACCCTATTAATCATACAACCAATAAACCTAACATCAAATCGCTCAAAATTCCTTAAAAGGCCACAATCTCTCTAAAACAGCCCCCTCTAAGATGGGCAACTGGTCATCTCAGAGCCTAATCACCACCATCTTAGCGTCATTGACAAAGACCGTAAACTTTAGTTCCCTAGCTAGGCACCACCAAATCTAGGGGTGTGGAATGGTTTGGTTCGTACTCATTCCCATCGGACAAAACTTACACTTGGACTGGACCATACTGAACATAATATAATGTGGTTCGGAAATTTGTTCTTTGAATTTATAAATATTGAAGAAATACATATCAAATTGACATTTGGAGTTTTGGACTTACCAAACCGGATCGAACGCAATATTTGTTCAATCGTTGGTTCTCATATATCTTTCACTATAGGACTGCGGTTCTCCTGAGTCCGGTCCGGTTCGAAGCGTACCGTTGTACTCCCCTAGCTGAATCACATCACATTGGAAAAGCAACTAAAAAGCGGACATCCTAATCTAGTTTGGTTGCAACCAGAAACCGGTACCACACAATCCAATTTGATTTCAGGTCATGAGAAGATTGAAAAAACCTCTCATAATCCACCTCTAGCCCGCCTTAATCCCTATTGGTCTGGCTCGTCTGGTCCATTAAGCAAGCACCTAAACACATCAGACTAATAAAACAAAGCACTACTGAAACCCTCATGCCCGTCGTTCTTCCCTAACCCTTCCAAAACCTCCCCCTAAGCCTTCCCCAATCTCGTCGCCTTACCTCTCCACTTGTTCGCTCTCCAATTCATCACTCGATTCTCCCCCATCCGTCACTCTCCAGCCGACCTGATCCCATCCTTCACAAAATAAATATAACGAGAAGAGAACTCGAGTGGATTGAGAAGACGAGAAGAAGAAGGAGATGGAAGGGGGGATAGGAGGGAGATGAGGAATCGGGAAGGGGAGAGTCGATAAGGAGTGGATTTTTTTTTTCAGTTAATTTTTATTTTTAATATAATTTGGCTAAACAACTTTATTTTGGAGAAACGTAGTAGTTTTCGATTTTCGGGTTAAAATAATAGAGTAATGTTTATTTTTTATTCAAATCTTTTTCGGATTCTTTTTTATTAGCAAAACCTATCGAAATACTAAGAATTAGCCAAATGTTAACTTTCAGTTAGCAATTTTGTTAGTAACATTGACTTGGCAACATGATACTGACTAGGAAGAGACACATGAAAGTAAAGATTCTAGAATTTTAGTATTTTAACTAAAAATAGAGTTACAAAATTATTAATGATAACGTAAAAATGACTAATATTTTGATGCATTGCGGAAATTTTTGCTAATTAATAACATTTTAATAAGATTGAATAATATAAAAAAATCCAAAAAAAACTTAGATGAAAAATAGACATTACTCAAAATAATATCAAAATGACTTCAACCCGGTGACCATTAAAATCAGATTCAATCCAGTCCAAATTCGATTTGAACAGAATGTTACCCGATAACCGGATAAAACCGTCTAATTAAACCGAACCATACTCTTTTGCACCCCTACCGGCTACCACAAATCAAAGATGCCACCATCACCATGGAGCATGCAAACCTGCCGCCGCCCGCAGCTGCCACCACCGTGCCCGACGCGCAGAAAAGGGAAGGAAAAAAGCTTCCGAAAAAAGAAGGAAAAAGAAAATGGAGGCTTCTGGAATCCGTTGTCCCCCGGCGCCGTTGGCTCTTCCCCTCAAAATTTCGTCTCGACGCTCCGTTGCATCAGGAACGGCCTTCTCCTCGCCGCCTCGGCGAACAAAACTGATGGCGGAGACAAGCAAGGTAGATAAGAAGCCTGAAATCTGCACCGCCGACGAGCTGCACCGCATCGACGCTTACAATTCCGACTGGAAACTCGCTCTCTGGCGCTACCTTCCCTCTCCTTCCACCATGGTAATGCCAAGTCGCTCTGAAATTCATTCCTGAAATTTCTAACTATTCGTCAACTCCAACTATTTAAATGCAGACAAGGAAACATCCGCTGTTACTGTTGTCCGGAGTTGCAACCAATGCCGTCGGTTACGATCTCTGTCCGGAGGTGAGCTGATTTCTGTGCATTTGAATTATTTACCTCTTTCATATTGCCTTGGGCAAATGCTTCCATTTAAGTAGCAGCCAAACCCCAAATGTTTCGAGTTATGCAGTCCTCATTTGCTCGTTTCATGTCCGGCCAAGGATTCGACACTTGGGTTCTGGAACTTCGAGGATCTGGTTTGAGTACATTTCGAGTGGGCATTGGGGAAGGTATAAAATGCGTCTGTGGATTTCTAATTGTCCTTTCTACTTGCTAAGTATCTCGAAATTGTCATTGTCTGCTTCTTGTACAGATTCAGATGCCTCTTTGGGGGAAAGTAAAGGCAGGTTGGAACAAAGGCCCTCTGAATCGTTCATGAACGGGGCTGACAGATTGTCGAGCTTCTTTGACGACGGTGAGTTACATAACAGAACTTTGTAGCTTTCTTAGTGCATCCAGTAGCTCTAGTTTGTAACTTTAGGGGTTTTAACTATTTGACAGGGGTAAGCTCCAAGATTGGCAGCCAAATAAGGAACTTAAGCCAAAAGCTTCTAGATGTTATAGAAGGAAGTCAGCAATTTGTTTCTCCCAATGTCGGTGGGTTCCAAGGTCTTTTCCCTTCCGAGTTAGAAGATGTTATTAAACAACTAGACATGGTTTCCAAGTGTGATTGGGACCTTGACCATCATCTGGAAGAGGATTTGCCATCCGCGGTAAGTTGCATTATTACTTCAGGAATCAAACATCTTAAATGTTCCGTTCTGCTGTTTCTTTGCATCACTATAGACTACTTCCAAGGTTTAATGTTCTTATTTGATGAATTTTGTAATTGAATTGCGTGATCTTAGGTGGAGTATATCAGGACTCAAAGCAAACCAAATGACGGACAGATTTTTGCAATTGGGCACTCCATGGGAGGGATTCTTCTTTATGCAATGCTATCGCGCTCTTGTAAGTTTCACTGCAATTTGTTCCAGAAGAGATTAAAGATTGGCTTGAATGCAGACAGTCTGGAACAGGCTCGTCCATATTTGAACTCGAGTTGTGTTGCCTTGTCTTCATTAATGGACTTTTGGAAGCACTAACGATCGAGTAGGTTGGACCATTTTATACCAGAATCAGAATTCAACTAAACTCACCTAGCTAGACCAACTTGAGTTGAAACTGGTGTGTCAACATACTACTAGTTACTTGTGTCCGTCGAAGGGAAATGATCGTTGTTGTTATCATAGACTTGCATAGCTATTACAACCACTGCCTTTTTCTGTTACCAATTTATTTGATCCAGCAATTTTGGGGAAAAAGAACCGAGAAGCATCATTCAGAAGAATGAGAGTCTAGTTCCAAAGATCTTTGGGTTCTCTCTAAAGATGGCTTCCTAAAACATTAGTAAGCGTCAGACTTAAGCATGTCTCAGGTTTAACGTCTGGGACTTGATCCTTAACTTGTGGAAGAGATTAGTAGACTATTTTGATATTTAATACATATTAATTATTATCACAGCAATCAACTGAACATGCTACCACTAGAATTGATATCATGTTGGGTCCTGGTTTTGGATACATCATTAGCTGGCCATGAAGAGATGAACCATTCCAAGCAAGCCTAAGATCATCTTTACTTTGGGAATTGAAACTAAAATTACCCACTATTGCATATTTTTCCTTCCTTCCACTGGGATTGATTTGGATAATGGTTGGCCTTTGCTCATTTTTCAAGGTTCTCAAGGTAGAGATTCTGGACTGACTTCGATTGTCACTTTGGGGTCAACACTTGATTACACACCTTCAAACTCATCACTCAAATTTCTCCTCCCAGTGGCAAGTGATGCAGAAGAATCTTGTGTTTTATGTATTCCAGTGACTTAGATTGCCACGTTGGGGTCATCACTTAATTGATTCTACCATTGTTACATGATTCACAGGCAGACCCTGCGAGGGCTCTCAACGTTCCTGCTATTCCTGTTGGGACACTGATTGCTGCTGCTTATCGCTTCTCATCTAGTCCTCCATATGTCCTTTCATGGTTAAAGGCTCAAGTTACTGCTCAGGGCATGCTTCACCCTCAGGCACTGGCAAAGCTTGTTTCCAACAGCTTTTGTAAGTGTTTTGAAAGCGGTCCATAATTTTAATATGGGAGTAATGAGATGGATCATGAGCTGACCAGAATGCATTTCAAACCCAACCCACAGGCACAGTGCCTGCGAAACTCTTACTTCAGCTGACAACAGCATTCCAACAGGGTGGGCTAACAGATAGAAGTGGGAACTTTCTGTACAAGCAACACCTTAAAAAGAGTAAGGTTCCCGTGTTGGCAATCGCTGGAGATCAAGATTTTATTTGTCCTCCAACAGCTGTTTATGGTAAATTTTGGAACTCTCTGGACTATCTGTATCTGTATTCATTTGGCTTCGACCTATGCTAATTACTGGTTTACCTTACATAAACCATGGCCAAAACTTGATTGATGGAGCAGAGACAGTGAAGTCTATACCTGAGCATTTGGTTATGTATAAAGTTTTTGGGGGAACCTGGGGGTCCTCACTACGGGCACTATGATCTGGTGGGAGGTCGTTGGGTAAGAACTGATCTCTTAGGCTTCCTATTGGATGCTTACAATTTGATGAAACAAATCCATAATAACTTCCTCAAAGAACCCTTTTCTTTTTCATTTTCGATGAATCTATGAAAGGAACGTTTGTTTTCAAGAAAGAAGGATCGTAGAACACAATCGTACTGAGTATTAATCTGTTTTGTTTTCTTTTTTGGGTTCAATCTGCAGGCCTATCACGAAGTGTATCCGTGCATAATCGATTTTCTGAGTCGCCACGATGTATGAATGCAGATTTCCAGATACAAAATTTGTTAGTGGTTCTGGCTCACTGGTATCCCCTATACATACATACATACATAAATAGAAGGATGAATGTTGGGAGATGTTGCTAGAAGAGGTGTAATTAGTTGGTCAGGACTTGGGGTTAATAGAGAGAACTAATAAAATGTTTGTTGTATAGCGTAGTTTTAGTAGCAGATATATGACACAGACAGAACCTGAGTTTGGCATAATGGGGGAGACGTCGATCTGTCACCTGCTGCCAGGTTCATATAATTGAGCAGTAAATAACAATATAAGATCACTAAACTACGAAATCACAATGGCGATTGCCTATGACGATTACTACCCTTCTGTTATAGCAGTTGCTTATGGCGATTACTTCCTTCGCCTCTCTTCTTCATTCTGGTATTCCCATGGTTGGGGAGATATGGCAGTTTGGCCATCTACGCGCTTTGGGCGTGCTTATCCTCGGCGATTATGTTTTCTCAACCGCACTCTGGTGGTTATGTTATTTTCATCTTCATCGCCAATTTCGGCCACCCGAGCAGTTATTCGCACATCATCCCTATCCTCGATGTCGATCTTCTTCTACGGCAGTTTACTTGGCGGTTGCCTCTGTTTCTACTTCTATATCAGAGTGCGCCTCTTTCATGTCTTTCATCGTTCACTTCTGCTATTGCCCATTCACCCTTTGTACATGATCATGGCTTCCTCTAGCAATGTTCCGTCTGAGGCTGATATTGTTGTTCGTGTCTCTGGTGCTAACAAGGAGATTTCGGAACGGCGTGCTACTCTGAGTCTTGTTGCTCGCATCTTTGATCCCCAACCGCCCAATCATCTGGTTATTCAACAGATTCTTAGCAAACTTTGGGGCCTCACGGTGGGTCTCGTTGTGTTCGAGGCTGGCTTCGGTTTGTTCAGGATCGTCTTCCCGACTAAGTCTGATCGTGATCGGGCTTTGGCAAAGCAACCTTGGCCTTTCCGGAAATACTTACTCAATCTTCAGGCATGGGAACCCCCGACTCAGGCGCTGTATGATCGTATGGCATCCATGTCATTCTGGGTGCAGCTTAAGGGTGTCCCTCATGATTTTTGCACTATTGACTTCGGCCAGGAGTTAATGCAGCAATTGGGGGAGATTTTGGATGTGGGCATTTTTGGCTCCCGTACTTCTGCTGGATATTTCCTCAAAGTCAAGATACTGCTGGATGTTACTCTCTCTTTTCGTGGGAGACTGATGGCTGATTCAGGGGAGTCTTCTTCTCCGGGAGTTGCTAGCCGGTTCTGGGTGTATTTATGCTATGAACGACTTCCCCCGGTTTGTTATCGCTGAGGATTGATGGGCCACAATCAGTCGAACTGCCCTCACAAGGCTACACTGGAATTCAATCCGGCTGCGCGAGGTCGGTGGATGTCGGCGGCACCGGAGGGTACTCGCTTAGACCCTGTGACTTTCCGTCCGATTAACCTCTTCCGGGCGGCACTGTGGCGTGCGGAGGATGCAATTCCACCCCTCGAGACGAGCCTGGCGGATCTACGTCTCAATCCGGCTCCTTACCCGCCGAAGCCGAAGCTGGCTCTCCCGGCTGCCCCACCTGTGGTTCTCGGCTGCCCCACCTCTGGCCCTCGTTCTCCGAGTTCGGTTGGTTCATCCTCGCCTCCGCGTGCTCCAACGGTGGAACCCAAGGCGGAACCCTTGACTCCGCCGGCTTCTCGCGGCAAACAGGTTATGCTGGAATTTCCTCCATTTCCTCCCTCAAAGTATGTGTGTGCTTGGCGTGTTGGGCTATCTGAGGACGATTTGCTTGTGGATCGGAAGCGTCAGGCGATTGAGATGGATTTGGAGGGGTTGCCGTCTGGACCTCTTGCTCCGGCAGACAAGAAGGCGCGTCGCTCCTTGGATTTCACGGCGGAAGTTGATGCGGCTTGCAAGGATTTGGACGCTGCGCTGGGCCCGCTGAAAGGAGGGGAGCTGCTGAAGGGTGCTGATTCGCAGGCTAGCCCAACTCTGTCGGATGAACTACGAGGTGCATTATTTGGGCCTCCTTCTGGTGGCTTCGGCCCGGGTGACTTGCTGCCGGTGGAGGAGCCTGCTGATGGTGCTCTTGGGACTCATCCGGCTGAGATTTTTGAGGGTGATAAACCAACTTCTGCTGATGGTACGGTGGTGGTGACCAGGCAAGAATGGTCACCAGGTGATCAGTGAGCTTATTGAGTTGGAATTGTCAAGGTCTGGGAGGTACTTTGACATTCCGTGAACTCCACACTACTATTCGTCGTTATTCGTCTAAGTTTGTGTTTTTAAGTGAAGTGAAAATAAATGAAGCTCGTTGTAGTTCTATTATAGCTCGTTTGGGGTTTTCTAATTCGTGCATAGTTCCGCCTAGCGCTACTTCGGCGGGTGGCTTAGCTTTTATGTGGGATTCTACTATGTGTGGTGAGATTGTGGATAAATCTCCTAATGTAATTATGTATCGTTGGGATGTTTCGTCTAATAATAGTGTGCTACTAGTTGGTGTGTATTTATCTTGCAATGATGCGACTCGTCTAGTTCAATTGTCTCATTTGCAAGTTACTTTAAGTGCTATAGACCTCCCTTATATTATTTTTAGTGATTTTAATGTTGTCTTAAATAATGATGAAAAATTTGGGGGGTGCTTCTTTCGATCGCCAGGCGGCTTTAGTGTTCTCAGATTTCATTGATGATTTAGGTCTCATAGATATCGGTTTTCATGGGCATCCCTTTACTCGCTCAAATCATAGTGCCGGGAATGCTCTCATTGAAACCAGATTAGATAGGTTTCTTTTTTCCCCAGGGGTTCTGAACATATTACCCAATTCTGTGGTCAATCATTTGATTGATATTGGGTCTGATCATCGCATGATTCTTTGGTCCCCTCACCAGCGTTCCCGTCGTTCTAAACGTTTGTTCCGCTTTGATGCCCGATGGATACATAATCCCGAAGCGCGTCTCATCATTTCTTACTACTGGACTCTGCCTGTTTCGGGTTCTCCCATGTTCTGCCTACATACTCGACTTAAACGGGTTCGCCATGCTCTTTTTCAATGGGTTATTGCGGGGTCCACCAATTCTCTTCGCCGTACTAATGATCTCACTGCCGAACTTCATCGTAAACGTGCTTCTCCAGTCCCCGATTGGAATCTTATCAGAGGTTTAGAACAAGATTTAACTCGTGCTTGGGATCAGGAGGAGGCGTTTTGGCATCAGCGCTCACGTGTCACTTGGTTACAGCGTGGGGATCCTAACACTGCTTATTTTCATCGAGTCACCCAGACTCGTCGGGCGCGCAATTTTCTACCCACTCTTTCGGATCCCACTGGTCAAATTCACACAGCTGAACAGGCAAAGGGGCAGGTTGCAGTGGATCATTATAAATCGTTGTTCGCTTCTGAAATTGCTCCGGGGGATGTGGTACAGGCAGTTGATCATCTTCATCTTCATCCACGGGTTGATTCTACCATGGATAACATGCTTCTGGCCCCGTTTACGGCACAAGAAATTAAGCAAACTGTTTTCAAAATCGGCTCCACCAAAGCCCCGGGCTCGGATGGATTCACTGGTCTTTTCTTTCACCATTACTGGGATATAGTAGGGACTTCGGTCATCCAAGCTGTGCATTCCTTCTTTCGTACTGGGCATATCTTGCGATCTTTTAATCATACCTGGCTAACGTTGATTCCCAAAACTCCAAACGCCAGTTCTTGTGCGCACCTGCGACCAATTGGTCTCTGTCAGGTGTTCTATAAGATCATTTCTAAGCTTTTAGCTACCCGCCTTGGAGAAATCTTGCCTCAAATTATATCTACTTACCAGAATGGGTTTGTCAAAGAGCGGTCCATTATCGATAATGTGTTGATCAGTCAGGAGGTTATGACTTATCTTCAGAATAAGCGTACTGGACGGGAGCGTTTTATGGCTCTCAAACTTGACATGGAAAAGGCCTACGATCGGATTGAATGGTCTTATTTGTTTCGAGTACTGGAAAATCTTGGCTTTCATTCCCGTTGGATTGGCTTTATCCGCAATTGTCTTTCAACGACGTCTATCTCTGTTATGCTGAATGGTAGTGCGTATGGCTATTTCACTCCTACTCGAGGTTTGAGGCAAGGGAATCCTCTCTCGCCTTTACTTTTTGCGCTTTGCACTGAAGGATTTTCTGCTCTGATCTCCCAGGCTATTTCGAGGGGTGATCTCAAAGGTGTGCGCTTTAATCACCATTGCCCAGTTCTTTCACACTTGTTCTTCGCGGATGATGCTTTTTTATTTCTCCGTGCTTCGCCAAGGGATTGTCGGTTCCTTCTACACCTACTTCACCGATATGAGCATATGAGTGGGCAACGGGTTAATCTCGCCAAATCAGCGGTGGTTTTCTCTAAAAACACGTTAACGGATGAAGCCTCCTCTTTTGGAGCCTTACTCCAGGTGGGAGCCATTGGTGTTCGTGATCGTTATTTGGGGCTCCCTTCTCTCATTTGTCGCTCTAAGCGTGACACTTTCCGTTATATTGAGGAGGCGGTGGCCAAACGTCTTCAAGGGTGGAAGCGTCGTTGTCTCTCTTTGGCCGGATTGGAAACATTGATTAAGTCTGTTGTTTCAGCTCTACCTGTTTATGCCATGTCTTGCTTTTGCCTCCCAAAGTAGTTATGTCGTAATCTTAATCGTATGATTGCTCGGTTTTGGTGGGGACAGCAAGGCACTGAACGTTGTCTACCTTGGATTTCGTGGAAAAAGTTATGCTTATCAAAGGCTGCTGGGGGGCTAGGTTTTCGGGATTTTTCTACATTCAATCAAGCTTTATTGGCAAAACAGTGTTGGCGTATTCTTCATTCTCCTGATTCGCTTGTTGCTCGTGTGTTGAAGGGTCGGTATTTTGCTCATGGATCTTTTCTTTCAGCTACTACTGGCTCCACTCCGTCTTGGGCTTGGCAGTCTCTTCTGCATGGTCGTGATTTACTTGTTCATGGGTTACGTTGGGAGGTTCACTCTGGTGCTTCCATTGATGCTTTCACAGATCCTTGGGTACCTACTTTACCCGATTTCCGTCCTACTTGTCTTCCTTCTGTACAGGTTTCTCCTTTGTTTGTTTCTCACTTTATTTCTCATACTACCTCCACTTGGCGTGAGACTCGTTTACGTGATTTTTTTGATTCATCTTCTGTTCAGAGCATCCTTGCCATTCCCCTTCCCCGCACTTTGTCTCCAGATAAGTTTGTTTGGCATTGCACCACCAATTGTGTTTTTTCCGTTAAGTCGGCGTATTTTCTTGGGCTCCAAATTAATGCTCTTTCTGCTCCTCAATCATCTCGGTCGGTTGACTCGGCCTCCCCTCTTGACCCTTCTTTGTGGCCAAAAGTTTGGTCCTTACCGGTGATGACAAAGCTCAAGTTTTTTCTTTGGAGAATGCTACTTCGGATTCTACCGGTTCGAGAGGATTTACAGCGACATGGTCTTGATGTTCCATCTTTTTGTCCAATTCGCGAATCTGATGAAGGAGAGTCTCTTGAACATCTGTTTATTCGTTGTCCTGTGGCTATTCGTCTTCGTGATGCAATTGGCATTTCACTACCGCTGGGTTTTGATCCTTCTTACCATTTCACTCTGTTGTGGCGAAGTTTATTATGCCATGCTACCCCGGATATCATCTCTGATTGGCTTCTTCTCTGTTGGCGTCTTTGGAAAGGGCGTAATAATGTTGTGTTCTCTCCTTATGCTCAATTCACCGTCCCTGTTCTCCGTCGTCAATTCCTTTCCCATCGCGACTCCAACCGTATTGCCATTGCCTCTCCGGCTCCTCAGCCTCCTTCGTCGTCACGCAATAAGGCTTCTTAAGCAGTTATTACTGGTGGTTTTCAAGGCCTTCGTTTGGCGGTTGATGGAGAAACTTCTCCCCATCACTCTGGAGCCATTGGTATTGTTGGTCTTACAGGCGTTGTTCCGACTTTTGCTTTTGGGTCTTTTATTCAAGGAGTGTCGGATCCTGGCTTGGTTGAGTTGCTCGCTATACGGGAGGCACTATATTTGCTGCAACGGTGGCATTGGCATGATCGAGATGTTTTACTTACGGGAGATGCCCAAGTGGTCATTGACAAGCTGGTTTCGGGTAATTTATCAGATGCACGTGCTGGCGCAATTTTTTCAGAGGTTCATGCGTTACTAGTCCAATTGCCAAATGTTGTTTTACAATTTACTCCTCCAGATGCGAATCGGGCTGCCCATTTAGTGGCGCAACATGCCCTATGCTTTCCTGGATTACCTTCATTGTTATTCGACTTCTCTTATTTGTTTTATATGTCTTTTGATAAGTGAGTGTG